AAAAAAAAGGACGGGACCGCGATCGCGTGCAAAGCACGCGTATGGTTGGGCGTCATTTTTGCACGAAACGGGCATTGCCGTGCGTTCAACTTCATTTGACCTGTGCCGCGGGACTCACAAAAAAACCCCTTCTTATATAGAAGGAGCTCTATATTTTTCTCTCATTCCTTTCTCTCATCCACCTCATTCACATTGCTTCAAAATCTTATGTAAAATTCATTAATGTGGATGGCCCATGCGAACTATTAAACTAATTGGCTTGCGACAAATGTCCACTCTAATTTGTTCGTATTACATGTTTGGCATACCCCACTAAATTTGTAATATTATGGGCTTGTTTTTGTTTTTTCCGATGTATTAAAAAAAAAAGTAAATTTTAATTTTAAAAGAAAAAGCTCTTAATTCCAAAAAGATTGTGGCCCTGTTTGGTAAAATGGTTGTTAGTTGTTAGCTGATTGTGTTAATTGGAGGGGATAGATAGTTGATAACATTAGCTATTGTAGAAAAGTGTTTGGTAAATTAGCTGTTAGCTGATAGCTGTTTGGTATAATTTCTTTTATCAAAAAGCTAATTGAAAAAGTTGCTTGGAGTAGCCTTTTGAATGTTAGCCTTTTGAAGTTGCAAAAAGTTAATTAACCAAACATTTATATTGATATTTTAACTAAAGCAAACAATTAATAGTTGTCAAATAAGTCAAAATTGGCCTATAGGCCAATTTTTTACCAAACAGGGCCTATGTTTGGCTTCTACATTGATTTCCTTGAAACCTTAATGTGTAGGATATACTCCACAAGCTTCTTGATGCTAATAATGTCTTGCGTAAAGCGTCTGTATAATACTTTTTAGTTAAAATGTAATATTATTTCATCTTAATATATATCATATGTTTAGTGTAAATCATTTTACGGGAGACATAATATTTTTTTTAGTTATAATATAATATTTTGTATGATTTTTTAAAAAGTTAAGCAAAATACATTTTTGAGTAAATTTCAATTTTGGTCCTGTGATTATAGGGTCCTGTTAATTGTAGTTCACAACTTTTTGATGTGGTTTTTGAGGTGCCAAGTAGGAGGAGATAGATGAGAGAAAGAGAAGAAGAAGAAAACGAAAAACAATGGTCTGACGCCAAAAAAAAAAAAAAAAAAAAAAAAGTTGGGACACGCCAACGAGCGCGTGCATTGCCCGCATCCGCCTGGGTGTCATTTTTGCGCGAAACACATCAGCTTCATTTGACCTGTGCCGTGGGACTCACAAAAGATCCCCTTCTTGCAGAAGGAGCTCTATATTTCTCTCTCATTCCTTTCTCTCATCCACCTCACTCATTTTGTCTCAAAATCTTATCTAAAATTTATCAATGTGGATGGCCCATGTGAACTATTAGACTAATTGGCTTGCGGAAATGTCGTCCACTCTAATTTGTTCGAATTACATGTTTAGCATACCCCACTAAATTTGTAATTATGTGCTTGTTTTTGTCTTTTCCAATAAAAAAAACTCTTAATTCCAAAAAGATTGTGTTTGGCTTCTACATTGATTTCCTCGAAACCTAATGTGTAGGATATATTCCACAAGCTTCTTGATGCTAATAATATCTTGCGTAAAAATGTCTATGTAATACTTTTTAGTTAAGATATAATATTATTTCGTCCTAATATATATCATATGTCTTGTATAAAATCGTTTTACGGGAGACATAATATTCTTTTAGTTATAATATAATATTTTGTATGAATTTTTAAAAAGGTTAAACAAAATACATTTTAGAGTAAAATTTCAATTTTGGTCATGTTGACTATAGGATCTTGTTAATTGTCATTCACATTTTTTTTGTGTGGTTTTTGAGGTGCCAAGTAGGAGATAGAGGAGAGAAAGAGAAGAAGAAGAAAAAGAAAAACAGTGGTTTGACGCAAAAAAAAAAAAAAAAAAAAAAAAAAAAAAAAAAAAAGAGACACGCCAGCAAGCGCGTGCATTGCCCGCATCAGACTAGACGTCATTTTTGTACGAAACGCATCAGCTTCATTTGACCTGTGTTGCGGAACTCACAAAAAAAAAAAACCCCTTCTTACATAAGGAGCTCTATATTTCTCTCTCATTCCTTTCTCTCATCAGCTCATTCATCTTGCCTCAAAATCTTATCTAAAATTCATTAATGTGGATGACCCATGCGAACTATTAGACTAATTGGCTTGCAACAAATGTCCACTCTAATTTGTTCGTATTTCATGTTTGACATATCCCACAAAATTTGTAATTATGTGCTTGTTTTGTCTTTTCCCATGTATTTAAAAAAAGTAAACTTTAATTTTAATTTAAAATAAAAAAACTCTTAATTCCAATAAGATTGTGTTTGGCTTTTACATTGATTTCCTCAAAACCTTAATGTGTAGGATATATTTCACAATCTTCTTGGTGCTAATAATGTCTTGCGTGAAAACGTCTGTGTAATACTTTTTAATTAAAATATAATATTATTTAATCGTAATATATATCATATGTCTTGTGTAAAATCGTTTTACAGGAGACATAATATTTTGTATGAATTTTTTAAAAAGTTAAAATATATTTTAATTTAAAAGTATTATATTATAGAGTTTACGGTATTAAATAGCTCATTATTTTACCTATTAATATTTTTCAGTGAGTTTTGATCGACAATTTGGTCAAAATTGATAAAAATTGAATAGTTAAGAGATACTAAATTGACAGTTTTAAAAGTCGTGGATTGAAATTAATAAGACCCCAATAGTCATAGGACCAAAAGTGAAATTAACTCTAAATTTGTTTTTTAAAAGCTACTGACTCTATTACATTGTAGTATCTGTTCATCTATACTTTCTCAACCTGTTGAAACACAAAGAGTTAACACCGTCTCCACTAAGGCACGATCTCATGACCTCTAATATGGGAGAGTCACTACATGTCATCTGAGCACAAGGTGTTTGACACCTTAAAAGTTAATGTGGGTAGAAATTTTAAAGAACAAGCAAAAAAAAAAAAAAATGATGGGCAGTAGCGTTTTATGAGACTATAAGAGAAAATAAGTACGTGGTTTACTGATTTTTAATGTCGTGTGGGAGTTGCAACGAATTAATGTGTTGAGTTATGGGCCATTTACCATGACCTGTATTTAGCATAGAATATGAAGCATAAGGATGTAATGAAGGGTGATTTCGCAAGTGGCTATAGAAAAGTTAAATCAAGGGGGTTACTAGAAGAATCGCAAATTATGCCATGGAATCGTGTTCACCGGGAATGGCGAACACAAGGCAAAACGACGTTGTTTTTAGGCAAAAAAAAAAAAAAAAATCGCGGATGTGGAGTTAACGGCGCGCGTTTGATCAAATTATGAATTTTCTGTTATGAGATTATGAATTTTATGAAAATTCATAATCTCATAACAGAAAATTCATAATCGCATAACAGAAAATTCATAATCTCACAACTGAAAATTCATAATCTCATAACAGAAAATTCATAATCTTATAACAGAAAATTCATAATCTCATGGTTCCAAAGTGAATGTGTAGGCATGAGTCCAAAGTGAATGTGCAGGCATGGATTCATAATTTATGAATGTCCGTGATTTCGGACGGGAATATGTAGGCATGGTTCCAAAGTGAATGTGCAGGCATGAATTCATAATTTATGAATGTCCGAAATTATGAATGTAATGAAAATTCATAATTTCATAACAGAAAATTCATAATCGCATAATAGAAAATTCATAATCTCATAACTGAAAATTCATAATCTCATAACAGAAAATTCATAATCTTATAACAGAAAATTCATAATCTCATGGTTCCAAAGTGAATGTGCAGGCATGATTCCAAAGTGAATGTGCAGGCATGGATTCATAATTTATGAATGTCCGTGATTTCGGACAGGAATGTGTAGGCATGGTTCCAAAGTGAATGTGCAGGCATGAATTCATAATTTATGAATGTCCGAAATCTTTGTTCACCTCAAATTAAAGTGAAACCGCAAAATGTGAAAATGAAGAAGAAAAGGGGGGGGGGGGGGGGGGGGGGGGGCATCAAAGTAGCCGCCAGACTTTTTTTTTTTTTTTTTCTTTTTCTCCCCCATTTTTATCTATTTCCTACATGACTTTCTTAAATATTGTGTAAAAATTAAACTACTTTGGATGCTCTAGTGAGGTTTTTTTTTTTTTTTTTTTTTTTGTGGTTTTTGAGGAGTTTTTGTAAGCGTGATTAGGAAAGAAAAGAGTGAAAGAGAAAATGAAAAAAGAGGAAAAAATTTGATCTGACACTTAAAAAAAAAAAAGATTCTTAACGTGCCATCCAACTTAGCTTCGCTGTGCGCGAAACGCACACAATTTCCCTTGTTCCTCTAATCAAAACACTATTCCAAAAACCTATTTTTGCAAGGGAAATACTTTTTCTCTCTCTTGCTTTCTCTCTCCACCATGTCACCATTCCCTGTTATAAAGACCACTAAATATGCATTGATAATGGTGCTCTAAGGGCATCCTCAATAGTGAGATTTTTAGTGTGGGTTTTGAGGTGCCAAGTAGGAGAAAAAGGAGAGAAAGAGAAGAAAAGAAAAAAATAATGGTCTGACCGAAAAAAAAAAAAAAAAAAAAAAAGTTGGGATGCCTCAGCATCCGATATGACGTCATTTGTGCGCGAAACGGTCATGACTGTTCATTCATATTCATTTGACCTGTGCCGCGAGACTCACAAAAAATTTCTTCTTAGAGAAGAAGTTTTATATTTCTCCCTCATTCCTTTATCTCATCCACCTCATTCATTTTGTCTCAAAATTTGATCTAAAATTCATTAATGTGGACGTCTAATATGAACTATTAGACTAATTGGCTTGCGAAAAATGTCCACTCTAATTTTTTCTTATTACATATTTGGCATACCCCACCAAATTTGCAATTATGTCTGCTTGTTTTTCGTCTTTTTCGATGTATTAAAAAAAGTAAATTTTAATTTAAAAGAAAACTCTTAATTCCATAAAGATTGTGTTTGGCCTTCTACAATGGCCCCACGCTCGAAAGCCGAACATCTCAGCCTTCAGAAAAATTCGGAGAACAAAAGAATTTCACTCTTTTCTTCCATGTATGGAAGAAGAAGAGGAAGAAGAGGACTTCGTCGATCGAGTTCAAGTGGGTTAACGATACGTATGCGGCTTGCAGAAAGACGTTGAGGCCGTTGGGAGGGAGATGGGGAAGGGCCGATTCTCGCTGCGGCGGAGGAAGAAAGCGGCGCCGGCGGCGGTGACGTCGCCGAGGCCGACTCCTGTATTGGAGCAAGCCTCCGGCAACGTCGGCGGGATTTTGGTCGCGTCCAGTGCGGGGACGAGCAAGCCCGGGAAGAAGAAGGCGGTTGGGGCCAGGCTGTGGATGAGGTTTGACAGGACGGGGCAATCGGAGCTGATGGAGTGCGATAAGAGCTCTATCATCAAGCGCGCCTCCATTCCTGCTAGGGACTTGAGGATCCTCGGTCCTATATTCTCTCACTCCTCCAGTATCCTTGGTACTCTCTCTCTCTCTCTCTCTCTCTCTAAATACAATGCGTTTGCATATTTTGATCCAGTGCTTGCTATGAATTTGGTGATGGATGCTTTCCACGAATGAATTCCTGCAATTCTATATGCAAAGTTGATTAGGTAGGGTTTGATGCTTTACCTACCTAAGAATCTCATAACCAAATTAATTATGCCATCTGGAGCCATTGCTATTGGTCTGTAGGATACAGAACTCATGAATGCACTCATTTCTGTAATAATTGTTAAAAATATATATATACTCTACTACTTCTTTATAATATCACTGTGCTTAGGTTGAATTAGAAGGGTTGTTTTTTATTCATGCAGCTAGGGAGAAGGCTATGGTTATTAACTTAGAGTTTGTAAGAGCTATAATTACTGCTGAAGAACTTTTGTTGCTTGATCCTCTGCGTCAAGAGGTTCTTCCGTTTATTGATCAGCTGAGGCACCAACTGCCACAGAAGAGTGCTTTAAAGACGAGTGGGAGAAATGTTGTACAAGACGAGGATTTGGAATTTCCGAATGCTGAAAAATGGCTGCAAGTGCCAGAAGCTGTTGAAGGGTTGCAGGAAGAACTTCCATTTGAGTTCCAGGTGCTGGAGGTTGCATTGGAGGTTGTCTGTACGTATCTCGACTCTAGTGTGGCAGAACTCGAGAGAGATGCTTACCCTGTTCTTGATGAACTTGCCAAGAGTGTTAGCACGAGGAACCTTGAGCATGTCAGAAGTTTAAAAAGTAACCTTACCCGATTGTTAGCACGGGTACAAAAGGTATGCTTTTGTTGTTTGTCTTTTTCTTTTGCAGATGAAATATAAATATATTGAGTCTTTGTTCACATGGTTGTTAAACAACGTTGAAAATGGTGGTGACTGAAGGATATTTGAACCTTGCATTTATGGCCTGGCCTTTCATTTGGATGTTGCATTTTAACTTCTGAAAGCTGCATTTCTACTTCTTGACATTCAACAATCCAGATAGTTTGAACTTAACTTAAGATAGAAGTTCCTTTTTTACTTTATTTAGTTTGTTTGGTTTCTCTAATTGGTGCTTAGGACTAAGAAGCATAAAAATTCTTCCATTGAAACATTTGAGAAATATGGTATATGGTGTTTGTGTTGATTGTAGTAATTTTTCAGGAAGCTTTATGCCTTTGATCTTGACCATTTTGAAATCGAAAAAAAAAAAAAAAAATGCTCTCATGAAGTGTTGTTGAATCGTTCCTTTGCATTGAGATAAAAGTAGTAAATGGCATATTGATCATACTATAGTTAAGCTATTAGAACGCAACAGGTGTAATATATGTTCTGTGATTTGATTCACTTCAATTCATGCTAGTATTGCATCAGGTAGTTCTGTTGTGTACAGGATTCTGTCCTGGACCATAATCATGTATCAGAGATTTCTGTTGTATAATTTCAAAACCATTAGTACATTCTCTTCTGGCACTACCCCAGTGTGAGCTCTTCAGACCTAAGGTGGTCGGGAGTTAAAATCTCTTATTTCTCTACACTACCAAAAAAATTGTCACCATGTGAGACACTTCATGGCAACTTCTCATGATCTTGATTGGTGAATTATCTAGATTTGAAGAGTTTGCATATTGCTAATGTTAAGGTGTCACTTTAGCTTTTATATTTGATGTTAATTGTGGTAGTATTTCTGGTGGTAGGTGAGAGATGAAATCGAACACCTTTTAGATGATAACGAAGACATGGCCCATTTGTACTTGACTAGGAAATGGATTCATAATCAACAACCTGAAGCTCTATTATTGGGAACTACTGCCTCAAATGCAATTAACCCAGTCGTGCCTAATCTTCGAAGGCTTAGTTCAATCAGAAGTGGAAGCTTTGTTAGCAACTTTTTAAATGATGATGTGGAAGATCTGGAGATGTTGCTGGAGGCTTACTTCATGCAGTTGGAAGGCACCCGTAATAAGATATTATCTGTAAGTAGTTCTACTCGCGGCTTTCTAATGTTCTTGGGTAGCAGCAATAGTTATGTAGTTCTCTGTAATTATTATCTCAGGTGCGCGAGTACATAGATGACACGGAGGACTACGTCAACATCCAGCTGGACAATCAACGAAACGAACTGATTCAACTACAGCTGATACTGACCATCGCATCATTTGCCATAGCTGTGGAGACCTTGGTCGCGGGTTGGTTTGGCATGAACATCCATTGTGTTCTATACGATATTGATGGGATATTTTGGCCATTCGTTGGCGGTATGACAGCTGCTTGTATAATTCTCTTCTTTATCATGCTAGGCTACGCCAGATGGAAGAAGCTACTCGGCTCATAAACGCCTCCTCACACGCTTAGTTCCACGTTATCTCTATCACCGATCCATGCCAAACTTTCCTGTCATGAAATCATGATAGCTTTAAAGCCAACAAGTTATGTTATTTCATGTGAAATTGTATTTATCCCCACAATCCCCATCATTCCATGTGCAACTTGACAGCCTAACATTCCATATTTTTCCATTCTTGAATCAATATTATTATGAAGTTTTGCAAAAAGTGTGAGTGTTGGAAGGTGGTTGTTGTGGGAAGGTGGAAGGACAGGGAGACATACATTACAATCTGAGTGAGAATGACAGACAAAAGATACAGGCAGACAATACAATGAGGATGTGAATGAGTTCAAGAAATGCCCAGTGATGAAAGGGTCCCATTTGCCCTATAAAATTTGGGTGAAGATCAAGTGCCAGCTTTCCTTTGTTACTTTGTATCTCCTCCACTTGGACACTTGTTTGTTGTTTTCTTTGGGAATTTTTTCTTTTTTAAATTTCTGCCTCGTAAAAGTAAACTTTTATGCATGGAAACTTTTAATTTTTTAAAGGTTATGTGTGACTATGTGAGGTTGTTTTATGTGACATCTGTAATATTTTTTTAGAGTTAATTTCATTTTTAGTTTTATAGATATCAAGTCACTTTTAGTCTTTTTTTTTTTTTTTTCAAAAATATCCTTTGGTCCTAGTATTATTGTGGGTGTCTATTTTTGTCTTTTGTTAATAAAATTGTTTAAATGCGTTAAATACAAGAATTTTTTTTTTAATCTTTAGTTATGAATTTTTTCAGAAATAAAAAATAAAATACCGGTCAATGGTTTTGTTGATGGAAAATAAAAATTGATTCCGCCACAATAATATTATGATCAAAGGAGATGTTTAAAAAAAAATTTAAAACACTAGAAATGTGTTATCACTTATAAATCTATAACCAAAAATGAAATTAACTATACTTTTTAACAAAAATGTAAAATTTAATACTCTTTTTTTTAATCTTATAAAAAAGTAATACATCTTTGCTAAACATTATTATGCATATCATTTGAGATAGTCTATTACAAGTTTTTGTATACTGTGTTGTTGCAGTTTGGAAATTAATCATTTCAAACTCATTTTTTTTATTTAAAAAAAAAAATCAAAACTGCAACTTTTTAAAAAGAATTACAGTATTACATAATTAATATTAATGTAAATTTAAAGAAAATATTCACACTTATATATTTTTTTATATTTATACATTTGATCACTTTTTGTATTATTTTTATATGTTCCATTTTCTATTTTTGGGCTACCTAGTTTATAAATAATAAAATGAAGGTTATCCCACTTCGGCATCAGAAACTTCTAGTGATTCAATGACTCAGTAAATACGGTCAAATGTCTACTTTAGGCATAATTTTCACACTGTCGTTGTCGAGATTCAAACCTTAATCTCTTCTTTTAAATATTGTCTACTCAACCATAAGCTAAACCCGTGCGAAAAAAACCTTCATTAACAACTATTCACATATATTCATAGGATTGATTGATAGGCAACCATTAGCAATGAAAATTGAACTTTGATCAAATTTTAATATTTTCACATGGTTAGTAGAATTACAATACCATAATATTGTACACTTATGTATTTAGAGTCTCACTTTGTATTATTTGATATCAAAGCCACAACTATGAGTCAAGTGCAAACTAGTCCGAAGCTCCACCCTGCAAGATTTTTAAGACGAAATAATGCATTCTATATCAGTTATTGGGATTCGATCTTATGATCTTTTTTCAAAAAAAGTTATAAAGGTGTCAATTGAGCACAAAATTGTTTGACAATTATGATTAGAATTGGACTCCGTAACAAATACATAAAAATCCAAAACTTTTAAACAGAAAAGGGCATTTTGAGGCATATGGAAGAATCTGAGGGGTGAGATTGTAAAAACCATAAATTATGAAGAACATATCGTTTCAACGATCAGAAGTAGATACACAAACAGAAAGCCAACCAGAAGAAAGCATAAGAAGAAGAATAATAAAGCGAAAAGGGGGAATTTAAAAAAAAAAAAAAAATTTAAACACCATTTTGCTTTCGGATTCAGCTTTAAATTTCTGTGTTTTCCTCCTTGAATCGTTTTGAGAAGATCGTAATCGCAACAAGGTTAGCATTTGATCCAGCATCGAATCTCTGTTGTGTTTATATCTGCGCTTCTCTGATTGTATGTTTCCAATGGTTTGATTTCTAGGAAAATGTGGTTGTAGAAGGAGGGGTTTGTAGAAATTTTTATCTCTGCGGTTTTTTTATTTTTCGGGGATTATTTGATACACATGGAAGTATTATAATAATAATAATAAATTTGAATGATTTTAATTTGAATTTGAAATAGAGATTTGTGAAGAAGGTAACATAATTCTTCTTTCGTGTTGAGCTTTTGCATGTGTTAATGTGAATAATTAGGATGTTGCGAGAAATATGAATAGTCTGGAGGAGAATCAGTTTATGCTGAGATGAGATTATACATGAATGGCTTTAGCTATGTGGGAGTTTGGTTTGTTGCTTTTACATCAAATGATAGACATCTTGAAATGGATAGAATCTGTGCGAGTCTTTTCCATTTATTCTTCTGCAATCCTTTTTTGGTTGTGTGTGTTGTTGGATGGTGGGGTGGGGGTAGGGGTAAGAGTAACAGTTTGGGATAGTGATGGTTACTAAAATCTCTTGTAGTTCTATCAATCAATGCAGTTAATAGAATTGTAGATACATTTGCCATTGTTGCAGTGCAGTTCATGATTTCATGGTATGCTGTTGATGATATCTCGATTTTTCGTTTTCTGTTGCTTCTGGATAGTTTTGAGGTTGTGTCTGTAACTTGCTAGTCTCAATTCTTCTTGTTGAAGATCATCACTTCTTTCCTCTGCTGATAGATTTTTTCGTTTGATATTTCGTTCTGTTACAGAGATTGTTTGTATTTATTATGGCAAACTCGAAAGGGCCATCTAGCATCAGAAATGTGATATACAGTGGGAAGAACTCGATATTGCCTCCTAAAAGTCCATTTCCTAGCACACCCCCGTCGCATATTGAGTATATCCCTTCCATCGTACAAAAAGGTACCCCAAAACCGAGAGAAGGAAATTTGAACCATCAGCGTACTTCCTCTGAAAGTTTTTTGATAGATGAGCAACCATCTTGGCTTGATGATCTTCTTAATGAGCCAGACAGCCCTGTGTATAAAGGAGGTCATCGACGCTCGTCTAGTGACTCGTTTACATCCTCTGCATACTTGGATGCTGCTAATGTTGCAAACTCGGGTTACATAGTTCAAGATCATAACAGGTGCAGAAACCTGTTGCCTGTCCCTTCATGGGGATCCCAACTTAATTACCGTGGAGATGCTTGGCGCGCTGCTTGCTATGCAGATCCTAATTCTCCAAGCAAAAACAAGAGTAGGGCAAGAGATGCATCTCCAAATAAAATTATCCATCCCAGTGGCATTCCCACTCCTAGAGAAAATACCATTCTTCAAAACTCAGAATCTTTATATTCACCGCAAGAAGATGACCATGGAGATGCTTGGCACACTGCTTGTTATGCGGATCCTAATGCTCCAAGCAAACACAGGAATAGGAAACGAGATGCATCTCCAAATAAAATTACCCATCCTAGTGGCATTCCGACTCCTAGAGAAAATAACATTCATCAAAACTCAGAATCTTTTAATCCACCGCAAGAAGATGAAAGGGCACAATCTCCAGCAACTGTCAAGCATGATGCAGTTGAATCTGGTCCAGCTGATACAAAAAGCTCTGCAGAAAAGGAATCTTCTCTCGCCATGATATCTGTTTCAGAAACAGACACAAAACGTGCAAAGCAGTATGTCTTACATATTAGCAAACCCCTCATTCCCCTAGCTAAGTTGCAATACAATCATCATAGTGGTCTTATTTTTCTGTTCTCTTGTTTGGTATATCATTATTTCCCGTATCTAGCTGTTGTTTAATGTACAGCTAAACATCTAAAACTTTTGCATTATTTACTGTCTCACAATGTTGTTTTTTCTGATAAGTCTTCTTTTACTGAAATGAGAAAATGTAGAATGTTTGCAACAAGAGAATACTTTGCAGTTCAATCAACTTAAGGAACGCTATGTTATGCAGGCAGTTTGCTCAGCGTTCACGAGTCAGGAAGCTGCAATACATAGCTGAGTTGGAAAGAACCGTCCAAGCTCTACAGGCACATACCATCATCAGCTTAATAAGAGATTTGTATTTTCTTAGATAGTTTGGATAAGGTAGTTGAAATTGTTCATGTTACTCCTTTCTTTCATTACAGGTGGATGGTTCTGAAGCTTCTGCAGAGCTTGAATTCTTGAACCAGCAAAATCTTATTTTGAGCATGGAGAATAAAGCTTTAAAGCAGCGATTAGAAAGTTTAGCTCAAGAACATCTTATAAAGTATCGTAAGTTACTCAATTCGTCAGTTCATTTGTTGTAGTATTGAATTACTTGAGGTAACATGATTCTTCCAATTGTGCGAAATTGGTGACAAGTTCCATGATCTTTGGTTCTAACTTAAATTCTAGTACACTTTCTGATGGTTGTTCTGTTGGTCACACATTCTAATGACTGTTTGAAAACATGTAGCTTTCTTTTTCTACTTGGATTATTTTCAGCGTAAAGATTTAGTTAACTTGATTCATCCCTTGCTTGGGCAAGTTCATTGTGTGTGATTGACTTGATGCTTACCAATTTGAGAAAATATTCCGATTCTCGTAAAGTTCAGTTTTATTTACTCCCTCAGAAATTGATTCCATAAATGCTATGTGCAGTGGAGCATGAGGTACTAGAGAGAGAAAGAGGAAGATTGCGAGCTTTGTATCAGCAATGTCATCAGCAACCATTGCCTCAACTGCAAAAGCCACTGTATTCTGGCCATCGACTTACCAAAAGCGTAGATTTTGATAAACAATTCGCTAACCTATCTATGAAAGAATTAAGAGGGCAGTTCTGACTGTGAACCCATCTCCCTTCCCAACTTCAAGTTTGACCACTCATAGCTAGGATGTTTACAACCTCCGCTCCCCTGACTGCTCCTCAGCTGATTATGCTTCGGGATCAACAAATCAAGGTTTACTATGCGTGTGATAGAACTCTTGCAGTTTTCGCCCCCTCTGCTAGTAACTCGAGTTTCAGTTCCATCTTTTTCGCTTTTATTTATCGAGGTTAGTACATCTTTCATGTGCACCTGGTGGGTGATGCCAGAGAATAGCGTATTATCTGGCCGTTGACTGACCTGAGGTGATTGCTTCATGCATGATTCCCCAAATCCTTGTATGATCAAGTAAGTGATTGAGTTCATCATATCAGTTTCCTTTCATGAATTCCATTTTGTGCTCTTGCCTTTTGATGAGGAGTGGAATGAGGAAAATCTGATTTCTTGGTAGTTGTTTTTGTTCTTTTGGTACTGGCTTTGTGGCAGCACAATTATTATCTCTTTTACCTTTTGACATAGCTAGTGATTATGGAATAATATGATCTTTGCATACTATACAGTATTCTCATCACTATAAGATTAGTATGTGTTTGTATATGATATTCTCATCACTATAAGATTAAACCACATTTGCATTTTGTATTCTCATCACTATAAAACTAATATCTAATATGTATTCAGCTCAGTTGCACTCACAAAGTTTACTCTTGCTTAAAAGAAAGTCTGACTCAAAAGATTTGTAACATTTATCGATGCAATGAGAAGTTCAACATGTGTATATAAATTTGTAAATTGAAAGGTTCAATTGTCAATAGAGTTGACATTCTATATAATAATTATGTGACTCTTTTGGAATTTACGTGAATTGAATATTGACGCTATATATTTTGTCAAATATTATTAAACATACTCATTTATTATTTGTGCAACACAAGTTTTATTGTCTTCAAAAATGGGGGTAAAACAAAACAAAACATAAACAGTTTGAGACTTAACATCATGGGATCACTCTTACATAAACGTCAAAATCTTTTGTAATTCAAAGATACATGAGGGGATATGTTAAACACTATTTAAATATTTAATTGCAAAAGGAGCATTAAATGTTACTAGCAATTTCTTGTTAAGTGCTATATCATGCCTGATGCGATTATGAAATTTTTAGTCATAATGTAGTGCTCCAATGACAAATAAGTAATGGACTTCGAGTCCCACCACATCCTCATTATTCTTTTGAGTTCAAAAACAGTTCCTTATCTTCTCTAAGAGATTGGAAACCCCTAGTGTGATAAGTAAATTGTACTTATCCATATAAAATGCGTTAAAGACATTTTTCAAAATATGCTAACTTGTGTATAAAATTCCTTTCAAGGAAATACTTGATTTGCATGTCGAGATAATACTTGGTTTTGCAATTCTTTTATTTCAAACTTCGTCTTTAGACAAATATCACAATCTATTTATGTATTTCAATAATAGTTATGCAATCAACATGGACTGAGATAATAAATAAATAACTCCATTAACAATTCTTTAATGAGCACATAATGATGAGGTCCTGCCCGCGCAAGAACAGGAGGAGCTAGGTACGCCAGAACAGGAAGTTCCTGTTGGTGAGCTTCATCGAGATGAAGTGGTGTGTGCCTGTGAGAGGGTTGGTGTTGTTCGGAGAGGAGCCACCGGCGGCGGAGATGGTCCGTTCCGATGAATTTGAAGACATGGCTGGGGTGGTTTGGTGGTGAGCTACGGTGGTTGTGCGGTGAGGGGAGATAAAGGGGGGATCGATTAGGCTGATACCCGATGAGAGAGAGGTTAAGTGATTCAGTTACAACAGAAAAGGTTACAGGAGAGTATATCTGATTACACCACTAAACACTCTTGACTATTAGACTAAACTTCTAAGACTTATTCTATCACCACACAATTATAGACTATTATACAAATAATAATAATAATAATAATAATAATAATAATAATAATAATAATAATAATAATAATAATAATAATAGTAACACTAACAATAATGACACATATTCATTTTTACATATTCTTACTTCATGAGAAAATTACTCAGTCAATTGCTTATTGTTTCAAGTTAAGTAAAGCCTTTGTAATTCAACAACAAGCATGCTGTGATTTTCATTTCTCTTTTCATTCCGAGAATTATAAAGAACTTTCCAAATGTTAGCGTCTAATGACCCATAATTATGCGGTCATAACTTTCATAAGCTACATATCAAATTTATTATTCTGCCAATTATATAGCGGAACTTAATGACATCAATTATGTAAGAGTATATTTGATTAAAAACAATTATGGGTCTCTGCGTGAATTCTTGAACTACAAACTCACTTTATATTACACCACTACATCATTTTTGTTTCTCTTTCATATAAACACACATTTGTAAAAGTGTTGGAGTATTTTTATAATTCTAGAAAAATGTAGGAGTTCTCATGCAATATCAAAAACTTCAATAGGACTCCAACGCAGGGGTGTGCACAATTTAATGAAAAATCAATTAATCAGTCAAAATAACAATTTTTTGTTGTGGTAATATATTCTTTTTTTTTTTTTAGTATAAGGAAGGGGGATACCCTACATATACACATTATTGCCTCAATTGAGGTTCGAACCTTACACCTTCCACTTAGGAGAGCAATCCGATACTAGTGGACTACAAGCCACTTGGTGGTAATATATTCTTTTAATCCGTTGTGAATTTCTCTTTTTAGTTCACAACGTTCCTAGTGAAACGGATTATCGTATGATAAATGAGAGAGACAAAATGCAGGAAAAAATAACAATAAAGTAATAGAGATAAAGTGTCATAAGATATTTTATTTCAACATTAACGGAATATAATACAACTATACAAAGTGTGTATATATATATATATATATACACACATTTCAAAATATTCATTATTCTAACACACGTATGGAATAAAGATTTTTTTTTTTTAATATCAAAATGACGTAGTTTTGAATCTCAGAGCACACAATAATTTGCCAAAAATATTAATACAGCAAAGGAAGGGCACATCAGTAAATTCGTCAGTAGTTTAGGGTTTAACTTAGAGCGTCTCATATAAAGCTCTCAGAAGCTCATCTTCTTCCTCTTCTCCCTCGCGAAACGGCTTAGAGTTCTCTGCACTTTACTCTTCACTTCAAGGTCTGAGATTCATCCTCTACTCTTCTATCCCGCCCGCGAAAATACTAGCTGTAGTATACTTGTGATATTGATATTCTGTTTTTTTTTTTTTTTTTTTTTTTTTTTTTTTTCTTTTTTTGGATGATTTTTTAGATTAGATTGACCGATTGTTTAGATATTCAGTGTTGAATTCTGATGTCCGGCAACTTGTTTGAATTGCATTCTTGATTTATGTATTAAGGAATGAACCTTTTTGAAGTGCACTCATGGTTTAGTGTATTTGACTTGATTGAGTTTCCTCTTTAACTTTATGAACAGGCCTGTAGGAGTGGTTTGAGTTGGACATCTAGCTGAAGAAAATGTCTGGGTAAGTTATTCATTTTCCTGATTTCTCTTGTTCAATGTGATAGTTTGCATCTTGAGGTGATGTGGTAGTATAGTTCATTTAATTCAATGAATTTATGAATGTGTTTCATGATTTTGGTGAACTGTACTGTGTTTGAAAGAAGGTGGGGTTACAAGTTTGTGGTGTATTTAGATGCTTGTAAAGAAGAAATGATGATTGTTTTTTTTTTGTCAAATTTATCTAATTTTCATCTACATTCACTAAGAAAATGCTCAGACAATCCACTGCAAAATACCACATTTCCTTGCAAGGACCACCAGCTATAAACTAGTATGTTCAACTTCGAAGGCTTAAAAAAAATAGTTTCTCTTGCAATAGTGGATGTTTGCATTGGACCTTGGCTGCTGGGCAGAGTAATCCTGTCACATGCTATGCTTTGTTGCTTGTGTACTTTGCAAAACACACCCAAATTCAAGCAATACCTTATGGACATTTTATGCCATTTTAATAGAATTTCTTGCATCTTTGTTGGTCTATTTGGTGGTGGATGGTCGTTGTGTTTGGAGACGCCATGATTTACTGGAGGAAATAAATTGCAGGGAGCCACTTATATTATTAATCATGAAGAATTAATTTCAGTAGGTTAAATCTTACATGAAAAATTCAAGTCATAGGAGGTGAATGGGGGTAATCTAGGAGCAGTATCTTTTCACTGGATTGTATCAATCTATAGTTTCTTATGTTCTGTAATTGTTTATGCGATTGTTTGCTCTGCTGCTTTATTTAGTGCTATGGAATTTTTCCAGGCTGCTTGTCTTCTAACTTTGATTTCCTATAATTTCAGAGAGGATGTTGTTGTTGCGGAAACTCCTGCCCCTGCCCCAGCCCTTGGGGAGCCAATGGACTTGATGACTGCTTTGCAATTGGTATTGAAGAAGTCTAGGGCTCACGGAGGGCTTGCTCGTGGACTTCATGAATGCGCTAAGGTGATTGAGAAGCATGGAGCACAACTTTGTGTTCTGGCAGAGGATTGTGACCAACCAGACTACGTCAAACTGGTGAAAGCACTCTGCGCTGATCACAACGTCAATTTGATTACAGTGCCCAGTGCTAAAACTCTTGGCGAGTGGGTTGGTGTAAGTAATTTAATAATGCTAATTTCTGCCATTGTTTCTATCTCAAACCAGGATTCATAGTCTTTGTGCTTCCAATTATACATTCTCTACTACTAACTTTGTCGGCTCTGAACTGTAAAAGTTTTAACTAGAAATTCTAGGTTTTCAGAATGCTTTTACTGCTATGTTTCTTGTATCTCTAATTCTTATTGATATTATTTTGCAGTTGTGCAAGATTGATTCTGAAGGGAAGGCAAGGAAGGTTGTTGGTTGCTCCTGTGCTGTTGTGAAGGTACGATTCGTTAAATCTCGTAGCTATTTTACTATGAGATCTGTTATTGACTGTTAGGCAAGAACATTTTATTTATTGGAAAGTATATGGACTAAATCTAGGGAAATTTTGGATGAAAAATGATTTGCCAAGAATAGAAGTTCAAAGTGTATTGTGTTCTTTATTCATTTGATGAATTGTTCTGCAGGATTTTGGAGAAGAGCACGAGGGCTATCATATAGTTCAGGATTACATTAAGTCCCGTTAGATAGCTGATGGATGAAGGTCTCTTGCCATTGAAGCATCAACACAAAACTGCCTTTGCATTTGAGAAATGAATGATATGTTGAAGACATTGTCTTGAACTGTGTTTTTGGGTATGTAGCTTGAAGTAGATTGAGCTTAATAGACAAATTGTGAGGATTTTCACTTGATGGCCTGTCCATCATTTTTATTTTTGGGCAAAAATCTCATCTGAACTTGACAATTTAATTTGATTGCTTTATTTATTTGGTCTTGATATTTCACATGTTTTGCTCATGCTACATTATCAAACCAATTGCAACCAGAGTATAATATCAACCACCACCTCTTTTTTAGATGAAGAAAATCTGTCGTCATTGTAATCTCGTTCTTGTGTAATAGTTTACAAATTACAATTGCACTAAGAAGAGCTATGTAATAACTTGTGCAAATTCTAGCTGCACTAGGAAGACTTTTTGCAACTAGTTCACTAAGTGTTGAAGTGTGTGATTCAAAGTCAAACTGTTAATGGAGTTAAATACTCAATTGTGTTTTTGCTCAGTGTAGCCATCGGTTAAATAGAAGGATAACTTAGTAATATCAATATTGATGTCTTTCTTCTAAACTTGCAAATATAAAATTTGATTCGCAAGTTTGAGAGTTTCATAAAAGAGGTATGGGACTAAATTGAGTAAAAACACAAAAGTTGAGACTACATTAGGCCAGCAAAGTCATTTACGACGAAATTAAAAAAAAAAAAAAAAAAACATAGTCTATGATCATTTTGGGTATTAACTCAGTGTTAATGGAAGGAATTAGGAGATATTACAAACGTAAAAACTTGTGCAAAAGAAATCAAATTTGGAAGTACATAGTCCAATAAGAAAAAGGGATTCAGCTTACAAAAGATTATAATTACAATATAGCTACTACATATGATAGTTCAATAATTACAATATAGCTACTACATATGATAGTTCAAGGGATATGAAGAAAGTAGTCATATATCTAAATGAAATATATTCAAAGGCTAACTTTCTCAGTAATAGTCTAGGATTTGTATTTCAGGTTTCTGGTTCATGGTTTTCAGAGAGCAGATTGTTTCTCTGGGCAGAAGAGTAATAATGCGATTCAAGTTCTTTAAGGCTAGAAGCCGCCTCCTCTCCGATTCTAGCTAACATGCGGTCTGTTTTCTCGGCCAGTTGGTTAAATTCCTCAGTTCTTTGCTCTACGTGATCATTTAGCGATGCAAATCCAGAAAAGATGGCAGTTTGCTTCAACTCCGACACCAACTTTAGCAGTGAGTCAGCTGTCTGAACCTGCTCACACATTAAAGTAATCAAAGGGAACAACGAGAACCTATTTAATCATATACATATGTCTGGCAGCAAAGATACAACTATTTAATCATTGATGCATATATTTGTAACGAAGATAGAACTATTTAATCATACATATATAGGTTAACGAAGATGCCAAGGCTTGGTATGAGAGATATTATGCGGATTATTTACAACTGGGAAGCTTAGGGTGGGGAGAGATGGCTCTTCGGGTCTCGGAGGCAGGTGCTAGCATTACTTTCACATATATCAATGCTTTCATTCGATTTTTTACTTCCACCAAAATTCCAATCAACCATATTAAACTATGTTGTGCCTATAAAACTTCCATGTGTATTATGCAAAAGAACATGCAGAAGACTCCTTCTCTGTTAAAGGTACTGTGACTCTCACCCAATTGCCAAATTTCTAATATTGACAGTGAAAAATTGGAAAATCTTAAAAGATTCAAAATGGTTCGGCAATTTGAAAAATCAGGCAGCTATGGACACAGTAGTGTGAAGTTAGAGGTCACGCACAAAATGGTCGTGCAAACTCAAACTACTAGATACAAGTGTTTTCAGCATAGATGTTTTATCACTTTTCTATCCCAACCCAAATGACCACCGATAATGATTGTGCAAACTCAAACAACTAGATTGAAGTATTTTCAGCCTAGATTTTTATCACTATATCCCGACCAAACGACCACCGATAATGGAAGACCATACAAAAGCAATTTAGCAATTCACAAAGTAAAGACACAATGGTGCATTGATATGTACCACTGCCATAGAGAAAAGATATCTCACCATTCTGGATGCTCGCACCTCCATCATAAAAGCTTCTTGGGAATTTCTAACCGGTGGATCATTCACCTATTTTGTATACGAAGAGCATCAGGAACAAGCCACAAAAGCACAAGAACAACAAATTGCGGGAGTAGGTTAGAACGGAAATTGAATGTTCATTTTTTGAAGACTATTTTTTGTGTTTTGTGTAATAATGAACCTTCAGTATACAAAAAATGAACATTTATCCATTGTCCACGGTACAATTTTCCGCTTCTTTCACTATATACAGCCCCTTTCTTACAAATTCTGCAGTGTTTTTCCTCATTCCTAATATCTAGTAGGTTAATCTACAAAAGAATTCAAAGAATCTCTATATAGAGAAACTCCATCACTAATGGAGGCACTACTTTCAAACAGATTGGTAACCATTCAGACATGATTTTCTTACAAATTTTGCATTTTGTTTGCGAGAAAAAAACACAGAGAGAGAGAGAGAGAGAGAGAGAGATGACTTGTACCCGTGCAACATTAACAATGAAGCTGAAATTGTCAACAATGCTCCCAATATCGTTGTCGACTCTCTGCAACAAAGTCTTCTGCTTCTGCGCCGCCGCAGCCGCCGCCGCAGCAGTGGGGCCGCCTGCTCCGCCACCTCCGAGCCCTCCCTTATTCATTATTAGTTTGATTCCAAGCTAAGCTCAAAAACACACAGACACAAGAGGGGCAATTAGGATTGACAAAAAAAATATCGAAAATCTAACACCTTTACCCTAATTGCAGAGAAACTCCATATGATAAGAATGAATTACGCGAACCTATCATAAACAAAGCTAAAAGTTTCCGGCTGTCGGAGACAACGACGAATATTAGATTTTCCAGAGAGGAATTCGAATTTCGAAGCCAAAATCGCCGGAGTGAAGACTGGAAGACAGTACACATTACACACGCTGACACCGAACTACACCACTGCTATGAAAGACTGGAAGACATACCTGTCACTGCCGGTCGTCACCTCGCCGGAGGTTGTCGCCGTCTGCCGCGTCGCCACTCGCTAGTCAAATACTCGGAGTCTCGGACAATGGGAGTGGCAGGGGAATGGGGATTTAAATGACTTCCATTTACAAATTAGAATTGGGGCCATTTGGGGGTTAGGGTTTAGTAATTTTTTTTTTTTTTTTGAAAGAAACATAACATTATATTATAGGAAAGAAATGTTAATACAATGAAGAATAGAAGATAACCAAATAGATGAACTATCTTGAAAATCATCACCCGAACTAAAAAAATGACCAACAAATTCATTTATCGACGTATAAAGTGAACAAATTTGTTGATCGATGCACAAAACGAAAAGACACTAAATTAAAGTGTCTGACCAGGAAATGACAAGTTGAAATGATACAATCTGCATAAAATAAATCGGGCGATGGCTTGTTCAAATGCCAACAAACATTGAGACAGTTTGATTTCATACGAACATTTTGCCAACCACCATCAAGCCTCCAAGAAAAAACTTCCTTTATGGCAAGGGCCTCTGTTGTACGAGGATCATCAAGACAACGCAAAGATCCACTTTTTGCCACAACAAATTCTAAATGTTGTATTATTTTAACTTTAATTATAAATTCGAACTTCATACTTTTAAAAAATCTAACTAAATACTAGAAGGTACGGGTCATAATCGACCTTGACCAATTAGACTAACTCTATCACTCTTTGGTGTTGTGAACGTATGACTTCCTCGATTAACTCCGACCGACTTCTCTAATGTTATCCCTATTTCTTCTTCGATGCCCGATCAAATAAGTAGTCTAACCATAAGAGTAATCGTTCAGATTATCGAGTCCGCCATGCGGACACACTTGCATGTTCCTCTCCTCTATTAAAGGCTCATTAAATGTCCATAAAGAAGGAGAGTCCTTATATCATGGACTAGGGTTCACGGTGTATTGTGGACCCTAGTGCATGTGTATGTGCTTTATGTTGTAAAATTTTGTTTCTTGTGTTATGAAATTTTGCACTTGAAACCTGAAACAAATTAATAGTCATAATTATGTAATGAATTTTTGTGAATTATGTTGTGAATTTTGTGTCTATGAACACAAATTTTGTAAAAATAAGTAAATACATAACATGTGTATGCGTCTTGTGTTAGGAAATTCTATACCTTACGAATATGAATTTTGTACCTCGTTGTTTTGATGTAGGGTCCACAATGCTATGTGGACCCTGGTTCATGATATAAATTGCCAAAGAAGTGGGAGAAAAACGAGATCTAAGAGCATTTGATTATGTCGAAAGAATTAGGGAGAAAAGGAATTGTAATTCAATGGTAATAAAGTAGGAACTCAAATTACATTGTTTGGTAACGAATAGAATTATTGGAAATAGAAAGGGAAGAAATATTATAAAGACTAAAATGTTCTTGTGTAATAATAATAATATACTACGTAGTAATAATAATCAAGGTAAAAAAAAAAAAAAAAAAAAAAAAATCTGTTTCTTCCCTTTTCCCTTTCCTTTCTCCATTGAATTGCAATTCATATAGGGGCGGGTATGAATTGCAATTCAACAAAATGAGAAAATTGCAATTCCCTTCAACCAAACATGGTAATTTCCATTACCAAGAAAAACATTACAATTGAATTGCAACTACATTCTACCAAACATCCCATTAATACGCTTAAATGGACCAACCCAATAATCCCCACTCCCCATGGGGCCTCATTCATGCTTAATAACCTACAAATCACAAAAGAGAGTAAATCATATTTGGAAAACTCGATGCGACAAACTCGACCGAGAATTTGTTAGCAAAAACAAACTTGTAGTGTTTAGTAGGAGAGTCATGCTCCACCCATTCGGCCACCCTTTTCGGTGCCTAATACAATGTATTGTTTATATTAGCATTGCATACACATCATTTGAAGAATATATATATATATATATATATATATATATATATATATATATATATATATATATATATATATATATATATATAGGCAAGAAGAAAAAAAATTATACTCAGTAATAAATAATTTTCTATAAAATTTTATTTTAATGACTTAACTTCTGCTAAAAAATGATTAAATTTTGTACAATAGATATGTTTGCATGATTATCCTCTATATCTATTAACTTGAATCACGAATCTATTTATGAATTATGATCATCGATTATCATACTCCTATACTTCTCTAACAGAGATAATAAGTTTACAGTGAAGCCAACTTACAGGCTTTTCTATGAGTGATTATGATATGAGCTTTAGTCTTCCAATTCTGTATCTTCATCTTCGTCGTCCTCGTTCTCCCTGTACCTCCATTGATCTCCAACGTTGAACTTTTCCTCCTCTGTTTCTTCGCTGTCTTCACCTTCCTCGTAAGCTTCTTCCTTAACTGGCCAGGGCTTGTTCACCGCACTGAGATTGGCTGGAGAATCGATGGCGTTTTGGCGCCTTGCTTTTGCAGGGGGCGGCTTCAAGTTTGGCTTTGGCCTGGTTTGTTTCTGGGTCTTGGTATTTTTGCGTTTCACAGGATACGTGTCCTGAGCAACATCTTCATCCATCTCGTTTTCTGTAGCAGCGGGTTGAGCATTCTTGGCGCTCTCGTCTGGGAAATGCCCGGGGTGTTCTTTCCTCAAATGAAGATTCAGCTTGTATTCATGGATGTAAGCTTTATCGCACCCTTCATATGGACAGACGTAAGGGCGGTTGGATGATGCAGAAGCGTGAACTGCTCCAGAAGATTTTGCGGTTTTGTTTGGCTTCTCAATGGGCTGGTTGTACTTTGTTGCATCAGGCATGGTTGTCTGCAAAAATAGTACTCCAAAGTCCAAAACTGTTAATTAGAATCAACACATGTGACCATATGTCCTTGTTAAATACATATATAATTACATACACACAAGTGGCCATAATCAAGACATCATGCAACACATGCATATTACCCCATATATATGGTAATGTCAACTTTTGTCCGTACAACCCCAAAAGCATACGTGGTTGTATCCGGTGGCACCAGTGCCGGTCAACATGTACCTTACAAATTCCTATGGTGCGAAGAAATTATGAGAAATGGATTTTGTGTGCTGTTAGCATCAGTGTTGAAAAAGACGCTAGGCGCCCTCGCCAGATTTTTTATTATTTTATTTTATTTTTTAGGGGGTTATTCGCAAAAAAAAAGGGTTCGGCCACGGAGGAGGCCGATTTCGGCGTTCCTCGACGCGGCCGGGCGCCGCCTAGTGCCTAGGCGCGATTTTTGCAACATTGGTTAGCATGTATAACCTAAATGCGCCCTTCCCAAGGAGAAGGTGATATTGAAGAGTAATGCCAACCTTGTGATGAGCAGATGCAACGTGGTTTTTGAGCTTGTACTCGTGTGCATATCGCTTTCCACATTCCGGGTAAGGACAGACGTGATAATTCTCTTGTGAATGTGTCTTCATATGTGATTTTAGGTTGAAATCCAACGAGAAAGCCTGCAAAGAAAGAAAAAGACAGAGAACGGGATTAAAGCCGTAGCACAACAGATCAGCTAACGGTGTTGCAGAAACATCCATCAGCCTTCCAATAACAACTTGTGTGTATCGATCCTGTCTATATGTTTGTGCATGTGTTGTCGGGCTTCCCTCTACATATGTATCATCGAGAATATCTCGTGCAATAATTGAAAGAACTATGAAACATATGACGGGAATTTTAACCTAGGTTAGGAAACTTGTTTTAGCAGTCATATGGACAACAATATGGAGACACCTTAAACAAAGAGGGATGAAGAATTACCTTGCCACAGCCCTCATGAGGACACATATAGTTTCTCTCCCCGGTATGAATAAGAAAGTGTCTCTTTAGCTTTGAGCTATCCAAAAATTTCTGCAGATTAAAATTAGGATTCAGTTTCCTTGCACAACACGCTCCGGCAGAAATACAAATCAAAATAAAGCAATTCATAAAGGAAATATGCCCGAACTTGCAAAATGTGGAATACAATAATAAATGACAGAATTCTTCATTAAATCAGAGTAGAACAAGCAAAGGCAGCAATCTCTCTCTCAATCTCTCATGAATCCTTCAAGTAGAAAGGATTATAGGAATCTCTAACATCACAAATATGTAAAAAGAATTAACTTTATTAAGATAAAAACGCAGAAAAATAAAATAAAATCATGCAAAATGGCTTTTGTTAATTCGAAACAAATAGCGAGACCGACTATTCTCGATTGCTTAAGATGAAAATGCCAACAACACAAAATAAGTTCACTACCACAACACTCATTTACCAAGTCATCTGACATGTAAGTTTATTTTTTTTAAAACCATAAAATCAGCATATACAAGACAGAGAATACCTTTCCACAATTCTCGTAGTGACAAATATATTGTCTCTCGCCATGGATATGAGAATGCTTCCTCAGAGCACCAGCATCAATAAATGTTTTTCCGCAGCCTTCATAACTGCAAAGGAAGAGAACATCAGTAGCTGGTTGTGGCTCGGGTTCTGGAACTTCTGGCTCTTTCGGCTTCTCCTTCAAAGCTTTCAATGTGGCCTCTGGTACAAGCGAAAATGAATAGCTTCACTGATTTGGTTTGAATTGGTTCAATAAAGTGGCCAAAATACTTAGTATACTTGTGCAGAAAACTACCACTTGGTACATACATAATTTAACAGCCATTATCTTTTACTGGTAACACTCGAGAAGAACTGTAACAGCACTATGGATAAAAAAAAAAAAAAGCAATCAGAACTAACCATTAACCCATTTTAAAAGAAAGCACTTCCCACCAGTTGCTACAACATCTTGTGGGACCCTGGCACGAGATAAAGCAGCAAACTTAATAAAAGAACTGGGCATACTAGATAAAGCAGGCACAAGGACTTAAACATTGCTCTACAAAACTTTAAACAGTTCGAAATTAGCGAGCAACACAACTATATATGTTCAATAATTGAGTCAAATTCCAATGTTAATAGTAATAATGTAGTATGTAAACATTGCATTCATGCAATTTGAAATCATTCAGAATTGCTCTGAAGCTAAGAGAAGACTTGGAACAATACTAAAAACACATTCCACAATCCCCCAATGATATTGCTACTTCTCAACCAGAATGCTTTCCAGTTTCCACATAGTTATAATCAGTCAACCCTTAGGGCAATTCAACTTCCAACCAAATATTCAATTTAACACCATCTTAACACTTGAACATTTATGCTCACTAAGAATCCAAACCTTCAAATTAGATCAAATTTAACACTATTCACTCCTCCATTCCATGCACCAATTTCGCGTCATCGAAGACAACCAGACAAATAACAACACAAAACACATCACACATCATGCGTAAAGTCGACGATTTTGTTACCATTCCTTAAACCATTTGGTGGCGGGAGCTTTGGACTTGGTGATTATGGGGCGTCTATCGAAGAGGTTGTGTAACGCCGGAGGTTCCATCTAATCGGACGCCGGCGCCGCTCGCCGGATGGATACTTCTTCTCGCTGAATTGCTAGGAATCGGGGCTAGGGTTTGGATTGGTGGCAATTCGCTGTACCATTTGGCGGCAATGGAGATTTTGGGAACGAGCGCTCGACGGTCGACACAGTATATATATATATATATATTTTTTATAGGAACATTCATACCTTGTACGGATTAGATTCCTTTAGTCATTAGTAGTACGGAGTACTTGAAAAGTTATACTCAAAAGGTAAAAGGAAAAAAATTTTAAATATAAAAATAAATAAATGTAGTACTCCCTATCATATAAAACTTTGATATTATTCGTTAGACTTAATCCCAAGTCAAAACTCAATAACTAGGTGAATCTAATAACTCAAAGAACATAGTTGTTTAGCTAGGGACACATTTACACTATAAAATCAACTTAGTCTACTAGAGCAACTCTTAAAGCATGTGCTAGACTCAAGGTCGGTCCAAACATTTTATAGGTCCGGGGTATTTTTTATTTTTATTTTTTTAAAGATCAGATATGAAAAATTAAAATTAAAATTTAAAATGTTTGGACCGGTCCTGAGGACAACCAAACCAAGTACACTCTATCGAAATTTTCAGATTACAAGCAAAACCACTAATACATAGTAGATTCAAGTAGAACAGACACCATAAGTAGGGGTTATCTAAACCAGACAAAAACTACCTGACCCAGGAGTAAAGAGGTTGTCCTAAAGAGCATGACTATGTTGAAGATGAAAGCACTTCAATGTACCCCCTTGACATTCTTAGGGAGAGGTTAACTCATAAATACTATTTTCAAGGGGGACATTTGGTACCAGAAATCTTCTACTAAAAGCAAATAAGATCAGGATTTAGCTCAATTAGAAAGTAACACTTCTTACTTCTTATCGCTGAGCAAACAAAAATTCAAGAAACATAATGTGTGAATTGTGAAACTGAATTTACTATAGTGCATTAGTATCAAAATTTTAGAACAATGAACAATTCCTAATAAGCTAATCTGCCTAACCTGCAATTCGACAAATTCCTAATTCCAAAAATTACAACACAACACAACAATACGGCCTAGTAATGCAATTCTGTAAACTAAATTCATAATTCCTAAATCATAGCTTTCAAAAAAAAAAAAAAAAAAAAAACATCTCAAATCATAAAATACCTTTGCAAATTGCAATTGCAATTAGGCAGGCGATTAGGGCATTAGGTGTAGCCACGAAGGCGCTGCGAAGACGATTAAGCGAAGACGTGGCAACTGGCGGGCCGGCGAACTAGAGAGTGGCGAAGGCGATTTGCAGAGAAGAAATGTTATTTGTTCGATTGTCGAAGTAGATTGTCGATTGCCCATTGTTATTTGGCTTCTGAGCTTTTAATAACTTCATTATTACCATTGAGAAGAATTGAACGGTTGTTGTGGCACAGGCGCGATCGGCGAGGCAGAGGGCTGCATAGGCGGTGAGTGTGCGACGTCTTTTCTTCGTCTTTCGTCTTCTCAACTTCGATCAGAAATCAGATTGCAACTAATCAGTTTGTTTTTTTTTTTTTAAATATATACTAACTTACTAAGTAATATATATATATATATATATATATATATATATATATATATATATATATATATATATATATATATATATATCTTATGGCCTATGGGTTCTCCTCTAGAGATGGGCCCTGGACAGGGGCCCAGCATGCCCTTGCCCCTGGGCCGACCTGGGCTAGACTCTCGAATAATCCTTAAAGTATCCATATCATTTCACTATTTTGCACATGTGTCATTTAAGAGAGAGAGAGTTGGGCAAGAAATAAAGAAAAAAAGGAAAAAAAAAAAAAAGAAAAGAAAAGGGAGGGGGCTGACACTAACGAAAAAAATTGACAGAGACATTAAAAAAAAAGTAATGTTTCTACGCGCTAGCTGGACGCATCAGTGCACCTAACGCGCATGATGCAGATCTCTTTAAGTTTTTTTTTTCATCACTCCTTCCAACAACCTACCCTTACAGGAGAACAACCCTAAAAAAATCCACCCACCCATCAGTTAAAAGTCATCCTTTTTTTTTTTTTTTAAACTATTCTAAAAACCCCAAAAAAATCAAGTAGCACTACAATTTCAAGTGCCTTAAAAGAATATTAAATTTTGACTTAACTTAAATTATTTATAATTTAATTTGTTTCTCTATAAGTAATTTTAAAAAAAAAATCTGCAAAACATATAAGCCTTTTTTAAAATCAACTATTTTTAAAATTAATATAATTATTGTACTTATATATTTAGTTAATAAATATATAGGGAAAATATTTAAAACATTTTTAAAATAGAATTATAAATTTGAAAACTAGTCTATATATTGCTTTCCAATTAAGAAACTATATATATATAGGGTAACACTTGTGTGGAAGTGTGTCACGGGTTTTAATCCGCGAGACCGGTTGGATATTTGATTAATGTGTCAAAGATTTGACTCATTAAGTCCTGGGTGATTAGTGACTAATGATAGCTTAATGAACTTTTCATAAGCTATAAATGACTTAACTCAAGGCTTACAAACACAACCATCATCAGGTAGCACTACAGTAAGAAATTGTTGATTGAACATGAATACAAATTGTTTATATGCACATATATGCATTTGAGCAAAGAATGAAAATAGTTGGTAACAGAATATGCATATAGAAGGAGTCTCAGCTGAGCCAAATTGAGGCTAAAACAAGTCTGGTAAATCCATAGTAACACCATCCAGAAACAATACTTTGGAGCTCAGAATTAACAAAACCAAAGTTGGAAAAAGAAGCTATATATGGGGCCTTCAATTCAATTCTCATCATCATCTTCAATTCCTCTTCTTCACAAATTACAAGAGATCTCGCATCTCCCATACCTGTAGATTGTTGTCCTTGGCTACACTAGCGATAGCCAAGTTGTAGGTTCGGCTCCATGAGAAGTCTGTAATGCTATCCGTGTGGCGAGAGCGAACAAACACAAACTCCGGGGGTCCTCGACTAGCCTCCTCACTGGTTTGTGGGCTCCCCATCCTGGATGCCAAGAAACCCAAAAGACTCAATTACATACATACACCTCTCATCTGTTTTCTTCTTGCATCTGTGATCTGTATATCTATCTTTGAATTTGGGGACATTTTTGACACAGAAATTTCAAGAAAAGTAAAAAACTCATATAACAATGCATTCATTTCTTGAATTCTTCACAGATATAGCTATGCACCATGTAACACTAGTGAAGAAATACCTGCTAATATCATAAACAAGAATCTTCCTGCCAGAACTTGAAGCTATAAAATTCTCATGCTTGGGATTCCACCTAACATGGCCAACCTCCTCCCTGTCACAAGGTTCAGAAAAGCCTTTAATACTTGTTTTCATTTACAGAGAGATAAAGAAAGCAAAGTTTCCTCAAGAAGAAAATGGGAAGTAGAATAGCCTCTTACTGCAATGGACATTCCAAGACATGGAGGTAAGGCGAAGTCTTGCGCAGATCAAACACTTTGACTTTCCCATCAGAAGATCCAGTTGCTACAATCGGTCCCAAAAATGCCAGGGAGTTAATCTGCATTAACAACAAAGAAATAATGTTAAGAAAGTTACATAAATCAACTAATGTAGTCACAAAGAATAAAACAATAAAAGTTAAAGAACATACACTGTTTGAACAAACAAGTACACTAATGTATGTATTCCAGATATAGTACTGATTTCTACAATGTACTCAGTTGTAAAGATCTGAATGAAAGATACACATATGTATGACTCCATTTCTGTACTCAAACACTCACCTTAGCATCATGACAAAGTACAGATTGAACAAGATTGATTGCCGGAGTGCGTATATCCCATACACGTAGATGTTTATCTTCTCCAACTGAACCAAATAAGTTCCTATCCCTCTTATGCCAAGCTACATCCTCAGCACATCCAGGCTGTATCTGTTAGAACATCACCAAAACAGCTATTTTGATATCTTAATGATATGTTTATTAATGGAAAATCTCACACAAAATTGTGAAATACATAATGATTATGCAAGTGAAAGTAAGTTCATAAAACACATGATGCATATATATATAGTTAATTCTGATACATACATCATATATACGCATAGCCTCAAGTGTCTTATCATTTGGAGTGGCATTAATATCCCACAAGCAAACTTGACCATCCTCTGAGCCACTTAACAAATGACCGTTCTTAAATCGACTCCAGGACAAGCAATGCCCTCTGTCTTTGTGACCAGTTAACCTCAAATCAGGGTCGCAAACACCCCCCTGGGGAGGTTTTGATGGATGTTTGGTACAATCAAAAATGAAAACCTCAGTACTGCCTGTCTTGGTAGCAACAATTCTTGGGTTTTGTGGCATGTAACGAGCCCGTTTAACTACCCCATCATGATTTATTTTCTGCTCTCTTCTTGTCTGCAACACAAATATTTCGTGTTACATGAATAGGGGAATTACCTCAAATAGCTCTAAATTTGTAAAATAGGCAAGAAAAATTAAAGATACTATAGGAAAATGAATTTTCAAAACAAAACTACTATACATTTGAAGTTGAAGATAAGTACAGAGTATATGTTTTCTCAAGTTTCAAAACAAAAGTACAGTTAGATAAGTACAGAGTATATGATTTAATAATTTATGCAAATAATATTATATTTGATATATCGATCTCAACATATATATTTTGCAGCTTTCTTAATTAATACAACATAATTAATTAGGTCAAAGCAAAACAAAAGGAATTGCAATAAAAATCACAGAAGAATTGAATTCAGTATGTACCATCCCGATCTCAGCAGAGGAACTGGATTCTTCACCATCCCAATCTGCGCGACTCAGCTTAACCTGAACGAGCATAAGGCCGCTTTGTTGATTCTCTGGCGCGCAAGTTCCGACGATCAGATTCTGGATAGTATAAGGCTTCCCCTCCGGCTCCTCCCTGTACGGGAGCCATTCCACGGTGGGCGTCGGGCCTTCGAGGTTGTGATTGACGAACCTATCGTCCACCGTGCGTGATTCCCGCGAACTACAGCTCGTGGTTGCCTGCGAACTACAGCTCGTGGTTGCCCGCGAACTATAGCTCGTGGTTGCCGGCGAACAAGAGCTCGTGGTTGCTGCGGATTATAGCTCGTGGTTTCCGGCGGACTATAGCTCGTGGTTGCCGCCTGCGGATTATAGCTCGTGGTTGCCGCCTGCGGATTATAGCTCGTGGTTGCCGCCGAAGTATGTTGGAAAAACCATTCAATAAACAAGGATTTTCACTTATTTATTTCCTCTCCTAATTTTTTGGAGCTGCCTGAAAAATTCCTCTGATCTCTTGTCCGCCAGTCAGAGACGTGGCTTTTATTCAGGATCTATTACCACAAAAATAGCACTATTGAAGGGAGAAGGTTGTTGAAGCTTTGTACTATAAAATCCTACTTCCAGTTCTAGCTCGTGGTTGCCGGCGAACTAGAACTTATCGCGTTTGATCTTCAACGATTTGCAGGTTGCAGAATTCTTCAGCGATGATGGAGAGAGAAATCAGAAATGGCGATCTCGGGAGTTTCTTGTGTTCTGTTTAAAGCTTTTCAACAGAATTTTGGAGGGAAATTGCAACTGCTTCGGTGGTTATAATAGGGAATCTTTTCCACGTAAAACATGGAGTTAATTTATTTTTTTCACTAACCATATTATTGTTGCATGGTTATCGTAAAGAAATCAATTTTTTTTTTTTTAGTAGTATTGACTATATTAGAAAATAATATATGTTCTATATTTTCTCTAGTTGTTTCAGCTTAAAGAGTTAATACTCCACAATAGGAAGTTCGATCATGTGATTAAGGTTCGATCAAGAAGAGTTACGAAAGTGTCAACAGAGCACAAAGTATTTTGTAAGACATCGATTTAAATGAACTTAAAACATAAGAGTATTCCATCTATTCAACATACAATGATTACAATCTTCTCAACCACTCTTTGTTTGATGAATTTTAAATTTATAGATAGGGAAAATTGTAAAAAAATGCCCCTCTATAATTGACCAATTATCAATGTCGTCCCTGAATTATGAATGATGTAAATGTTGCCCCTCAATTATCAAAATGGTGCATATATAACCCTTCCCGTAACGGACCGGTGAGTCAACGTTAGTCTACACCGTTTAGTTGGGGGTAATTAAGTAATTTACTTTTTTTTTTCCTTTTTCTTTTTATATTTTCCATTTCCCCTCCTCAGACCATCGCCATTGAAGGGAGCGTCGTTTTACCTTTTCTCTTTAAGTATGAGTGGAACCATCACCCACTTCACCAACTCACTTTCGCCATTTTTTTTTTCTCTGTAAATTCCTCTCATACGCCACAAGTAATTGAAACGTTTTTCGTTGTTCATATACTCTTTGGTGGATTTTGAAACCGTAATGGCGGCGGAGCAGATTCGCAGCAGAAAGCTCATTGTGGAGATATGTAACGCGAAGAATTTGATGCCTAAGGATGGGCAGGACACCGCCAGTGCCTATGTTCTGGTGGATTTCGACGGCCAGCAACAACGGACCACGACTAAGTTTCGAGATCTGAACCCGCAGTGGGAAGAGTGGCGACTAAGTTTCGGGATCTGAACCCGCAGTGGGAAGATTAAGATTGCCCGGATTAGTTTTCTACAGGAGGGATCGGAGGCGCTGGTTTACTATTCTTTAGAGAAGCGCATCGTTTTCTCACAGATTAAGGGCGAGATCGGGGTTAAGGTTTGGTACGTGGACGAGGAAGCGGTGCCGCCGCCTCCGGAAGATAAGACGGAGGCGCCGGCGGAGGATAAGCCGCCGGAAAAGGTAGAAGAGGGGAGTCCACCGGCCGCGGACGGGTACAAGAAGGAACAGATCAGGAAGAAGGAACAGATCAGGAAGATCGGGGAAAAGAAGTAGGAAATTTAGGAATTGAAGAAGAAGGAAGATTAGCCGCCAGAGGATCCGAAAAAGGAAGAGGAAGCTGCTCCTCCTCCTCCACATCCACCGGCTGCTCAAACCTCCGCTTCGACACCAGGACCTGTCAGTTTTTCAATCAACGATGGTCTCAAATGAGGAGGGGAAAGGGAAAATATAAAAAGAAAAAGGAAAAAATAAGTAAATTACTTAATTACCCCAACTAAACAGTGTAGACTAACGTGGACTCACAGGTCTGTTACGGGATGGGCTATATGTGCACCATTTTGATAATTGAGGGGCAACATTTACACCATTCATAATTCAGGGGCGACATTGATAATTGGTCAATTATAGAGGGGCATTTTTTACAATTTTTCCTTATAGATATCATTTCACTTTGAGTTAATTTCAGCAATAGTCCTCTGAATATGTTGATTTTTCACATTTAGTTTCCGTCTTTTAATTTGGACAATTTAACCATTCGACTATTAAATTTTTTTCAATTGAGGTCCTTCTGTCAAGTGCTGGTTAAGTGGGTGTTAATTCGAGGGATAAAATCGTCTTTTTCTTACCCAGCATATAAATCATCTTCGTTCCCACTATGTATACGCGAAATAAATACACATACAATTTATTTACTCCAAATTCTTGAAATTTAATCAAATTTTGCGCATGGGTTTTCTTAAATCAGCTCAGATAACCCAAAGCTGTAAAACGGAGTTCTTTCGATCTGAACCAGATCGGTGACAACATCAAAGTCGTTAAATTGGGAGGTGAAAATCAAAACGGGGAAGTGAATAAGCAGTGGGACAGAGCAGATCAAGAATTTGGAGGTCTGGTATGGCGAGGTATCACTTTTTACAGTTTTTAGTTTATTCTCTATAAATTTTTAGTTTGATTATCCCCTTAAGTTGCTGTTATTCATCTAATCATATGCTAAGTGAACATATGAATAGGAAATTATAGATGCTTAAAATATAGCTTGTTGAGAAATGAGAATTGGAATGAATTCCATTTTCTATTTGCAGTTGCTTGTGGTTCGCCCAGAGATAATCCCAGTTTCCTCAATGGAAGGAGTCAAAGGATGTTTGTTTTATAAATTCTGGTTCAGATTTATACGCCGAGTAAGGAAAAGACGATTTTATCCCTCAAATTGACACCCACTTAACCATCACTTGACGGAAGGACCTCAATTGGAAAAAATTTAATAGTTGGATGGTTAAATTGTCCAAATTAAAAGATGGGGACTAAATGTGAAAAATCAACATACTCAGGGCACCATTACTGGAATTAACTCTTTCACTTTTAGTCATTCTTTCATAAATCACTCAAATTTGTTAGTAATAATATATTTAAAAATAGAGTTAATACTCAAAATTGTCCTCGACTATAGTGGTTTTTCTCAATTTCGTCCTAAACGACTTTGGTGACCTAATATCGTCCCAGACTTTTGTGTTATTACTCAAAATTGTCCTCCGTTATCTAATCCGTCAAATGGGTGTTAAGTACAAGGTTAAATATGTAATTTTAATTTTGGTCTTCTAGGCCTTCTTATTTCACCGCGCCAACAACAGGGTAAAAAATATTTTGATTAAGAATTTCCAACCTTGCGACTATGTCTGCTCAAGCAATAATTCCCCAGAAATTCGCCAAGTAAATTCGTCAATCTTTGTTTATCAAATTCTTCAATCTCTGTTTATCAATTTCGCCTTTCTGTGTTCATGGGTTTATCAATTTCGCCAGGTAAATTCGCCCAAAGAAAACCCTAAGGAAGCAAAGCAAATTTCTTCCCTACATTGCAATGGATTCAAGACGACGGAAAAGGGGCGAATGCACTCCGAAATATGGTAAGAATTTTGGCTTGTGTGAGCTTATATATGAATATGTATGTACTGTTAAAGCATAAATCAGTGTTCAATGAATTCATTGTGAACGTGCTAGTGCCAGGGTTTAAATATGAGCTTGTGCTAATGAGAGTTGGATGTGGAAAATGGAAATTGAATCTCACAGCAGATTACATCTAACTTGGGATTAAAGCTTTTAGTTGAGGTGAGTTAGAATCTATGAGGGTATAACTTTGCAAATTGCTTTCTGGTTGATATGGTGGATTCTTCTTAAAATGTTTTCTTTAGCTTGAAGAATGACTAGGTTTTATGCATTGTTTTTATTCCTGTTCCTTGGAATAAGAAATATATTTTTGATTATCGATTTAAGTTGTGAGAAATGTATTTCAATATCATATTTTGTACTTGCTGGTTAAAAACTAATAAGATTTTGCAATATATTTCAGCATTTTCTTTTGTGTTATTCTCATTGCTTGTTAACAAATTTTTGCATAAATGATGGATGTGGTACATGATGGAATTTATCCCTACCTCTGTTGTTCATGATTACTTCTCTTGACTTGGAAATTTAGTCTATTCTAAATCAACAGGGCATGTGTTTTAGCCTACCTACACTTGAGGACCCCTTTAATGACAGAAGTGGTAAGCCAGATCCTGTGAAGAACAAAAAGTGAGCAGATTCCAAGAAAGAAAAGAGGGCTGACAAGAAAAAGCTAGCTCCAAATAAAAGGCCAACTGATGTATTTCATGGACTGGTATGATCCTCCTATATGCTCGAGGTCGAAGAAAATAATACCGGGTCTATTAAAGAATATCAATAGAAAGGAGGAAGAAATTAAGAGGCTAAATGCAAGGATTCAAGAAGCTGTCAATGACTCCTAGTGTAATGTGAAATTTGTGTTGGTAGTGGTATTAGTGTTGTGTGCTATGATATATATTCAACTTGTAATAGGGGTGGGGAGTTTTGGAGAAAAAGAGACTAGTTTTACTCAACTTAGATTGAATTAATGTAAGTTAATTTGCAGCAGGCATATTAATATATATGTGAACTTTAAGTCATTTGCAGACTGTTTACAATTTATATAAATGTGATTTGCATTTGTAGTTCTAATGTGAAACAAAAAAACACACACAGATCATTACTGCAAACCACTATGGTACAATTACAGAATAAAATAACCCTGTAAATTCAGTAGTAAATTACACAGTAAATTTACTGCAAAACAGCCTGTGTAATCCATAGAACAGAACAACCTTATATGGAACAAGCTAAAGTAGAGAGATTGCAGCAGTACATTCAAAGATTGGAACAAACAACAGTAAATTCAAACACAATAAAGTGTAGTAAATTCAGTCTGTGGAGAAATTCATTACTAGAACCTGATATGCAAAACACAAATATTCATTACTGTTATAGCATTGAGATGACTAATCTCATTGTTTATCAAAACAATATAAGGGTCTCTTATACAAAATACAACTACTTAACTACGTAATCAATTTCTAATGGTTCATCCTGATTTCCATAACTGCAATCACTTCTGCTTCTATCACTGGTTCATTGGCTGGCTTCTATCACTGGCTCATTGGCAGCTTCTACCACTGGTTCAAACACAACTGCTCTCACTGGTTCATTCACTTCTTCTCTAACTGCTTCTACCACTAGTTCATTGGTTGCTTCTCTCACTGGTTGAGGAATTTTCTTTGTTCTAATCCTCTTCTTTGGATTGAGCTACAAACAGTAATAAACAATAAAGAATGCAGTTTGATTTTACCAACAGTAATAAACAATAAAGAATTAAATACAGTTAGGAATTTATTGAGAACTTACCAATCTTTCTTTGATGGCAGGATCTGTTGGACACCTCCTTGCATTATGGCCTGGCTGCTTACATTTGGTACAATGCAGTTTTATTTTACTCCTTTGCACTGTTGTCAAATTTCTTGGTGTTTTGCTTACTTCTCCTGCACTTTTTTTCCTTAACTTTCTTGGTCTACCTGCCTTACATGATGTGTACAATGGGGGTAGTAGTGGTTCTCTATCTGTAATTGGCCACTCATCTGGCCCAGCCATAGGGTTAATAGAACCTGCATAAGCTTTCAAATAACATTCTGTAGAATACATTGGGCTAACAAAGTTGATGACTTGTAATTTCTTCAACCAAATTGCCCTAATTGCATGCTTGCAAGGAATTCCTGTTAGTTCCCATCTTCTGCAACTACATGACCTTTTTCTCAAATCAACTTGTTGACCATCCTCCCACATCCCTCTAACTTCAAACAAATCCTCATCACATTGAGTACATAAATAACTTGCAGCTGCCTCTTCATTAACTGCAATTTTCTCCATAATTCTAGGACATATTGTAGACTTCCATTCATTAGCAGCTTTCTTTCTATTGTTGAAGAACCTAGGCATTAAGTGATTTCTCAAAGCCTCAAGGCATGGTATAAGTGGCAGCTTCCTTGCATTCAAAATCATTGCATTAAAGCACTCACATATATTGTTAACCAAAACATCACATTGTGCAGAAGTAGTAAAATGAGACCTTGACCATTCACTTGGATGCTTGTCAGATAACCATTGAAATGCATCTACATCTAATTGATGAATATTCCTCATTGCTCTAGTGAAGCTGTTCACAGTTGTTGCTCTAGCTGCTGTCCAGAGAGCATCTTTAATTGCTTTGCCATGGAACCCTGCTACCCTGAGATTACCATATAAGTGCCTCACACAAAATCTGTGAATAGCTTCTGGAAACACTTCTTCAAATGCAGGGATTAACCCTTTTTGTTTGTCTGAAATTAAAGTCAAGTTACTGTGATTCACCAAGTCCAAGTCTTTCTTAAGTAGTTTCAAAAACCAAGTCCAAGATTCTTTGTTTTCCCCTTCAACAATTGCATAAGCCAAAGGAAAAATGCTGTCATTTGGATCTATCCCAACAGCTGTCAGTATTTGGCCCCCAGTTTTTGCCTTTAAGTGACACCCATCAAATCCTATAATAGGCCTACAATATTTATGACCTTCCATACATGCCTCCCAACACATGTAAAACCTCAAAAATCTTTTTTTGCCTCCAGGTTCCTCGTATTCACTTGGTTTTACAATGCAATTTGACATAGGGTTAGTTTTTTGAATTTCATGATAGTAGCTCCACAACTTTTTAAATTGTTCCTCTTGTTCACCCTTTATGTCACCCCTTGCTAGTGTCATTGCTTTATAACATTGTCTAATTGTTAGACTGAATTTGTCATCAGCTTTAACCTTATTTTGAAACTCCACAATGTTCCAATCACTATTGTGCCTAATTTCATTTTTCCATCTTTTAGCAGCCTTGGTTGCAGTGATCATATTGTTCTCGTATACCCACCCACAACCTTCATGCTTCTCATTATAACTTAAAACTCTCCATGTGAATGTGTTCTTTAACTTTCTGCAGTTGATTCTCCAAGGGCAGCCTTCTTGTTTGCAGCTCACTGTCACTCTCAATTTGTCAATCTTTTCAAATTTCAGATGTTTCCCATTCTTAATCCCATAATTCTGTATAGCTTCTTTAAATTCTTCTCTACTAGCAAAGGTTAATCCTATGCAAAAGATGGGGTTTTCCATGTCAGTTTTTGCTCTAAAAATAGGCCACTTGTGTTCATCATTATCACCATCACTGACTACATTTTCATCAGATAAATCTAATCCATCAGCAACTACTATAGCACCCTCTACTCCATCATTAACTTCATTAGCACCCTCTACTCCATGTTCAGCCACTGGACTTGTTTGTACACCACCATATTCCACTGTTACATCAACATATTTATCAAACTCTCTATCATCTTTCTTCCCTTCAACGAAATCATAATCAGAGTCATAAAATTCTTCTAGCACTTCATCCTCATAATCCTCATCACTTCCATCAGTGTTAGACTCCACATCATGTTCTTCAATATCACTTCCTATGTTAGATGCTTCTGTGAACTCTGACTTTACTACACATATCTCCAACTCTCTAGGCTTACCAACACAAAGAGAGTTAACTAAAGGCCATATTTCACTATCTGAATGTAACTCAAACAAACCACCAATACCATTGCTAAGCAATTTTGTTTGTAGAGGATCATACCCTAACTCCTCTACTTTTTCTCTTAGAGTAATCATCCCCCACTCATCAACCGACATATAGTCCCAATAGTCTGTCCACCCACCTATATATTGTGATTTTGGTCCATGATTAATCCTTCCACCATGTCTCAACATAAGTGTAAAATATTCATTTTTTTCACCTGTTTCAAGACACAGTACATTTAATACAATACAAATATAGATACAATACATAAATATGGAGACATGTGGTCCCCAACATTACAACATATATATGCTTTACACTGCTCATTCACACAAATTTGACAGTATATCCCAATAGATGTGGTCCCTACACTGCAATTGAATGAATATAAACACGCATGTATTATTGTCATTTGTAATCCTGTAAATTTGGCATCATTCTCACTGTCAATGCATAACTATGAAAATTTTAAAGTGCACGACTGTTACTCTAAACATAATTACATACATGTGCTTTAATTTATGCTTCACTTTCCACAATAAATTCATTGAATAATAATTTCTGCTTTGGCAGTACATACATATTCATATATAAGCTCACAGAAACCAAAATTCTTACCATATTTCGGAGTGCATTCCCCCATTTTCCGTCGTCTTGAATCCATTGCAATGTAGGGAAGAAATTTGCTTTGCTTCTTTAGGGTTTTCTTTGGGCGAATTTACCTGGCGAAATTGATAAACCCATGAACACAGAAAGGCGAAATTGATAAACAGAGATTAACGAATTTGATAAACACAGATTGACGAATTTACTTGGCGAATTTCATGAGGGAATTATTACTTGAGCAGACCGTAGTCGCAAGGTTGGAAATTCTCGGTCAATTTTTTGTTAACATGTTGTCGCGGTGAAATAAGAAGACCTAGAAGACCAAAATTTAAATTACATATTTAACCCTATACTTAACACCCATTTGACGGATTAGATAACGGAGGACAATTTTGAGTAATAACACAAAAGTCTGGGACGATATTAGGTCACCAAAGTCGTTTAGGACGAAATTGAGAAAAACCACTATAGTCGAGGACGATTTTGGGTATTAACTCATTTAAAAATATGTATTTAATATCTTCCATATTAATAGTAAATTTGATTTATTTAGTGTTAAAATTTCAAATTTTATGTGGTATTTAATAACACAATGCTTTATAAAATTTGTAATATATTTGAATTTCGAATGTCATTAACATTATTTAATCGCTATGAATAAAATAAAGCTTCTCCTTTGATTACGAACTTGCGTATTTTAATTTCTTATTGACATTAAAGTTGTGAAAATAAATTTAAAATAAGATCTCTTAGGTTAAAAAGCATGGATGATGAATCTAGAAGGCAAAAGAAAAATGACTTTGTTGAAAGATATGAGCAAAGTATTTTATTGGGACGTTATGCCATGGAACCGTGTTCACCATTCATGGTGAACACGGTTCCAACGGTATTAGTACACCGTTATTATTATTATTTTTTAATTAATTGTGTGACTTTTCTTCTTTATTTTCACATTTTGCGGTTTCACTTTAATTTGAGGTGAACAAAGATTTTGGACATTCATAAATTATGAATTCGTGCCTGCACATTCACTTTAGAACCATGCCTACACATTCCCGTCCAAAATCACGGACATTCATAAATTATGAATCCATGCCTGCACATTCACTTTGGAACCATGCCTACACATTCACTTTGGAACCATGAGATTATGAATTTTCTGTTATAAGATTATGAATTTTCTGTTATGAGATTATGAATTTTCAGTTATGAGATTATGAATTTTCTGTTATACGATTATGAATTTTCTGTTATGAGATTATGAATTTTCATTACATTCATAATTTCGGACATTCATAAATTATGAATTCATGCCTGCACATTCACTTTGGAACTATGCCTACACATTCCCGTCCGAAATCACGGACATTCATAAATTATGAATCCATGTCTGCACATTCACTTTGGAACCATGAGATTATGAATTTTCTGTTATAAGATTATGAATTTTCAGTTGTGAGATTATGAATTTTCAGTTGTGAGATTATGAATTTTCTGTTATGCGATTATGAATTTTCTGTTATGAGATTATGAATTTTCATAAAATTCATAATCTCATAACAGAAAATTCATAATTTGATCAAACGCGCGCCGTTAACTCCACATCCGCGAATTTTTTTTTTTCGGCCTAAAAACGACGTCGTTTTGCCTTGTGTTCACCATTCTCGGTGAACACGATTCCATGGCATAATTTGCGTATTTTATTGTGTTGGGCCGGGTTATTGTGTTGGGCCTAAAATATATACATGCGAGCTTTGGGTTTAAAATATATAGATGTTATCTTACGTTGGGCCTAGAATATATATATATATATATTGGATCTAATGAGACCCTCTTGTCATGTGAGATTGTGAGGCTTCATCTTATTCGTATATTTGTAAATTTCAACGTTTCAGATTTGTCACTTAAAACCCCACGTGCGGATGAGTTGTTGTGTAGGCAGGATTATTTTGGTCTTTTGTCACTGGCTTTATTTCTTCCCATTTAATATTTTCGCCGTTTGTATAGGGATTTTAGTTTTATTTTTGGTCTTAAATTGTTTTCAATATTCTTTCTCTCGCCTTCCGTGTGTCTCTTCAGTTTGTTCTCTTCTCAGCGACGCAAGGGTAGACGGTCTTCTCCGGCTTGGCGAGCTCGGTCCTCTTCGGTGCCGGTGTGTCCGTGTTGTCCAGGTAGTCTACATGGCTGGTTTTTTTATCAAGCGTTCTAAGCGTCGAAAGGACATATCGTGTATATATGTGTGTGTAGTTAAATAAAGTGGTCACAAATTAATGTTTTAGTATAAAGTATTCAACTTTTATTTATGGACTAACAAATTTAAATAATGTCACATTGTCAGACTAAATAATATTACAATTTAACCAATGAATCAGTCATTCTGTCCGACAATGGAAACATTGGATACACTCAACAAAATAATTTACACTAGTAATTAGTAAATACATAAAATAAAAAATTCAATATTCATCAATCTCTTTTACAAGTATGAAAAAGTATAACATTTTAATCTTATCAATTGAGTCAATAAAAAAAATTAGGAATAAGGGTCAAATAGGCCATCCAACTGTACACAATAATTCAATTAGGCCACTGAACCTAAAAAGTCAACAATTGAGTCCTTAAACTAATCAATTTTAAACAATTCTTCCAATTTGAAGGTTTCCAACAAGTCAACAGGTCATCCTTCCAAATAAATTATTTTTTAAAAAATAAATTTTTAAAATTAATTATTTAAATTAAAAAAAAAAAAAAAAACAGGACCGGTCGTCTCCGGCCGATTTCTTCGTCTCCACAGCCGGAGACGAAGAGTTTCTTCTTCTCCATGGCTGGAGACAAAGAAACTCTTCGTCTCCGGCAGTGGAGACAAAGAAACCCTTCATCTCCACTGTCGGAGACGAAGAAACTGGCCATGGAGACGAAGAAACTGGCCGGAGACGGTTGTCTCCCGTCGGAGTGTTTTTTTAAAAAAAAATTTAAAAAAAAAATTATTTTTTAAATTTATTTTTTTAAAAATAATTAATTTGACGGGATGACATGTTGACCTATTGGAAACCTTGAAATTGAAAAATTGTTTCAAATTGGTATTGTTGATTTTTTCGGTTCAGTGACCTAATTGCATTATCGTGTGCAGTTCGATGGCCTATTTGACCCTTATTCTAAAAAATTAAAATGAATAAATTAACATTACTATATTATATTGTCTATAAAAACAAAGCAAAAACATTATAAAACACATCATTATTCTCTTTACATTTTCCCATTTGTATATAATAAAAAATAGGAGATGGACACGATGGATCAAATCAATCATACTACTCCACCCTCCTGGATACCATGAATGCATGGATCAATGAATCATCAACCTTAAAAAGTCAAAATCTTAATCATTTGATATCATGCAATGTCACATTCAATAATTTAATCTTATTATTCTTTGCCAATATTATTTTTAGTATAAAGTATTTGTAGAATCCACCAATATAATTGGTGTTAGGCCAACCAGTCATCTTTTTTTATGTTTGTTGTTCTTCCAGAGCTTTGATGGGAATTAAACATCAACTCAATGTTAATTATGTGATTGCAATTTAACAAAAAATTATTATTTTTTGAATGTTAGTAGCTCTATTACATTGTAGTATCTGTTCATATAATTTCTCAACCTACTGAAACACAAAGAGTTAATAACGCCTCCATTGAGGCTCGAACTCATAACCTTCCAAATGAACAAACCAAAAAAATAGGACCACACACTGAAATTAGTCAAATTTGTGTTGAGTAGGAGCTCAATATTAATTATGTGATTACAATCTAACAAAAATCATTTAGTTAATTACAAGTTTAAAAGAAAAAAAAAAGATGAAAAAGATAATCATTGATTTTTTTGTCTGAAGAAAAATTATTCCGTGGATTCGGGTTCACCTTGCAAGGTGGATACGGGTCTAAAAATACACAATTTATATATTCAATGTTCACAGTTTACATACTGACTGTTCACAATTTTATATACGAAATGTTTACAATTTACATACTGAATATTCACAATTTGAATAGTAAACATTCAGTATGTAAATTGTGTATTTTGACGCGGTCCACCTTGCAAGATAGACTCAGGTCCATGTCATAATGATATTTCAACCAACAAACTATGCTTAGACATCGGAACTAATCATATTCGTGTTGGGTAATACTTGAGTAATTCAATGTGAAAAACACTCCTTCATAAATTTTAACTTTTTAAGCTAAGTGCTGCCCAAAGCCCACGTGTTATCCCATCCACTCTCCATGAGTTGAATTCTATGAAGATATTTAAATGAACTTATAATAATTCTAGTAGTAAATAGATTAAAGTCATGTATTTTTTATTTTTTTTTACGGGAAGAATCATGTTTAACATAATATATTTTAATTGGTCGGCTGTAAAACTAAAGAATCATTAATCTAATAGGTGAATTAGTTAAATACAACACGTGAACGAATTTTGTCTTCTCAAAATGTTCCTATCATTATT